TTCTCCTGTGAAGTATGACCATTTTCAGTGTAGCATATTTCTGCAGGAAACATTTAGGTCAAGTAGTTGACAGGTGATAAGTCACAAGGCACTAACTTCAGTCTGAAAGATATTCACGAAGGTGAGCTATGTTATTAGGAGCGTCCCAGTGATGACAAATGAAGGCAGTTGATATTGAGTATTTATAAAGAAAGTGGCAAATCTGATCCAGCAGGTGTTACTAGTTTCTAACAGCTACTGTGATTTTCATGTAAGCTACAAAATCAGAATAACTGTCTCTCACCAGAAAGGCGAGAGATTAGCAGTCTGGTGCTAGAAATGTGTTCTTGCATTTCTTTGGAATTTTAAGTCTTTAAAAGAAAGCAAGAAATCCCAGTCTGCTTACTGTTGGATCTGATCAGATAGTATCGGTTAGACAAGCTTTTTTTTTGTTTTAGGGAGGGTATGATACAAGGAAGGTGGTGTGGTTGACAAACCTGCAGCAGTGGTGAAAGACAGCGAGGTGGCTTGAAAGTATGGGAGGATGTTGTGAAGCTTGTGGGTACAGGAGCCCGTGACTCCTGATGAATGAAGAGTTTCATGAAGTCAAGTGGCACAGTGGGACTTGCAGAACTTTGGGACCAGATACCATATCTGTCTGGTGAGATGCAACTAGCGTCACACGTCTTGGGCTTCTTTAGCAAGATCAATCCTTGTCCATCTGCACACAAGCACAGTGGGTGCTGGTTAGGGTGTGGTTTGTGCTGCAGATAAACAAACGTTCTGTGTAGTTTTTACTGTTTTAATGTTTGAAAAGCAGCGTTGCCTATATTTGCAGCAGTTGAACGCCTTGTGTTGATTTTGTTTCTAAAGAGGGGCAGTTTTCTGAGCTAATTTGTTTTTCATTGACTGAACATCATTTTACAATTGCAAACTGAACCATGTGTATTGCAAGCTGAGTTTTCAGATGTGTTCCCCCCCCACCCCCACCTAATTTATGTATTTATTTTGGAAGTTTGTGGTAAGTAAATTGTGTGTAACTTTAGTTATAACTGTGATCACTAAACTTAAAGAAATTTGACTAAAAGCATGGCTTGATCTCTGCCTTGTCCGGACTGTGTTTCTGTTTTAGCTGTTTTATCTACAGAAGCTAACGGGATGTGAAAGCGCTGCTCTGTAATCTTCTGTAGGTAGAACAGAAAACGCCCTATTTATTTATTTATTGTTTGTGTTGTTAAAAGGACACTGACTTCCTGTTGGTATTGTTCTGCACTCTAAGTGTGCTCTAAGCTATTCTGCAGGCATTTGCAGACTATCTTTCTAATCTGACTTGCAAACCTGGAATCTGCACTGTTTACACTTTTTTGGGGATGAAGGGGAAGAGAGAGAGGGAGTGAAGTGGCTTTGTTTTACACGGATTTCCTTCACAGTCAGAATTTATAATTTTTTTAGTGGGACCAGAAGGTATTTTTCTGCCAGATGATGATTTTTCACGTTGTGAACCAGTTGATCACGGAAATGCACCTTTTTTAAAAATGTATGAATATTTACTTTTTTAAAAAAACTGTTTTAGTGAAACAGACGAGGGCCTGTAAACTGTGATTGTTGGTTTGTTCTCAAAGCCTGTCAGCATGAAGTGCCTCTGCAGATCCTGATTTTTCCCTCTTTTGAGGGCTGTGCTGTGAGTCCTCTTCTGTTGGTGCAGTATCTCCAGGAGAACAGATCCAAATGTCCTGCTACGCTGCCCTTTAGCTCAATCCTTTACTTGATAAATGAATCAAGGTCACTGTTTGTTTTGGGATTTTGCAGTGAAACCTGATTTGCCAAAGGCAGCCTGTAATTAAGTTTCTTAAATTATGAAGTACAAGTTGTGCAGAATCAATGCAAGCAAATGTTCCTGTGTTTTTTCTTTGTGTTCCTATTTGTGTTGTAGAGCAAGACTGATGATCGACCCTTTCATGTATTTGTGTTCAAATAGGGAACAGTCTTCTAATAAAGTTACTTCTGTGAATAAAATTTGTGGGTGTTACTCTTTTGTGTTTGGACATGATGTCTACTGGAGCATGCTGCAAAATTCAGGTCATGTGGCCAGAATGTCCCAGATTTCGTACCAAATCTGGCTGGTGGCTAAATTATCTTTTGCCCTTTGCTTTCTGCTTGTTCTAGAGCAGAAACACAATCTGCCAGAATTTCTTCTGAGTAAGAAATGGATGGATTTGTTCAGCAAAGAAGGGATAGGATCAGGCTCGCAAAGGTCTTGTAGAAAGAGTGGCACAGTGACTCAGTGGTTAGCACTGCTGCCTCACTGCGCCAGGGACCCGAGTCTGATTCCGGCCTCTGGTGACTGTCTCTGTGGAGTTTCCATGTTCCCTGCGCCTGCATGGGTTTCCCCCGGGTGCTCTGGTTTCCTCCCACAGTCCAAAGATGTGCAGGTTAGGTGGAGTGGCCATGCTAAACTGCCCCATAGTGTCCAGGGATGTGCAGGCTAGGTGGATTAGTCATGGCACATGCAGGGTTGCAGGGTAGAGGCGTGGCTCTGGGTGGGATGCTTTTTGGAGGGTCAGTGTGGACTGAATGGCCTGCTTGCACACTGTAGGGATTCCATGAAACCTACTGCTGATTCAGGATGTGAAGCATGACTGATTATTAGTGAATTCCTGAGGGCTGTAATGGTGTGGATCAGAGGGTAATAGTGTGGATCAATTGCCTTGGAGTCCAAAAGGTTGTGTCCAAGTTGCAGTTGTGAAATTTGAGCACATGGCCTGTGGTGACACACTAGGCCATTACTGAAGGAGTGTCACATGGTCAGTGGTTCTGTTTTGTTTTCAGGTTAGACCTTAAGGTGAGCTCCTATTGTGCCTCTTGGGGATGTAGAAGAGCAGTGGTGTGTTCCCTGCTTCCCATGCCAATAATTACACCTCAACCAACATCAATGAACAGATTATCTCGCAATTTAGACACATACCGCTCCACTTCCTACATAGTATCACTTCAAAAAGACCATAAGATGTAGGAGCAGATGGAAGACATTCGGCTCATTGAATCCGCTCTACCAATCAGAGACTACGTTCAATTCCTACACTCCCCATCAAAAAGCGTTATCAGTTCTGAGGGGGCTGACGGATACCCTCCACATACACAGACGGTGGTAATGGCTTGACACCACAACTGGTGTCCTGTCCTCCTCTCCTCCATTCCTCTGAAATCTAAGAGTACAAGTCCAAAAAAACATGTTTTGGGAGCTCCTGAGGTTGTGCGAAGTGCTATTGATTTTACTCCAAGTGTGCCGTAGCCTATGATTGTCTACAATTTTTTTTTTGCTGGCTCTCATTTTGTCCAACTGACTCCTGATCTGAGTTCAGTGCTGAGTTGGTTTCATTGCTTGTAGTTTAGAAGCAGTCACTGATGGTGCTCCTTTCGCTGCATTTGTTGCCAACGTGACCACTTGGTGGCTGGGTGGGGATGGGAGTGGGTGTAGTGTGAAAGCAGGTGACCTTAAGTGACAGTAACCAGCAGGATAGCGAGGAGGAGGGGGGAGAAGCTCAGTTGTGGTGTCAAGCCATTACCACCGTCTGTGTATGTGGAGGGTATCTGTCAGCCCCCTCAGAGTTGATATGCTTTTTGATGGGGAGCATAGGAATTGAGCATAGGTTTGTTGGTAGGGGGGCGGTTGGAATTAGTGGGGAGAGAAACAAAGTTCTAGTTCCCCTGGCACCTTGCCTATCTCTGACCAAACAATAGCATTGCTGACTAACCACAGCAATCGATTAGTCTGCCATAGCTGTGAGCCTGATGGTGGGTGTTTGCAAGCATTTGTCGCTAGTGTGTGGCAAATATCACATGTCAAGAGCCTAATTTTTGTGGAGTTGCCATTGAATCTTTTAAAAATGGCAAGCAGGGCCTAGGTTTGGAAGTCTGTCTCCCAATCCTGCTATCCCACACTCGATTGGTAGTGGGGGGAAAAGGGAGTGTGTACTCAGGTGAACCCAAACTCGGTGAAGCCATTTGAATTGAGTGGTGACTTCAAATATAGACATCATTTTAGCTGTAGCATAGGCATTAACCTAAAATGTGTGGCCATATACTTTCAGGTTGTAGGTGAATATTCATGGAGAACAGATAGGGGTCTCCAAAACTGTCTCCTCATGGTGGGTACTGGTTGAATTGACATGGAGGATATACGAGCAAAGGGCAGCAAGTGGAGGTCCATGAGTTGGCATTAAGGTTTTTAAGGGACAAAGGGTTGGGTGCAGAATGTGATTGGGCACGTTGATGAGTAGGTGGCAGGGTGAGGGGTTCAAGTGGGACAAAGTTCTAGAAAACAGCGGTGGACATTTTTACACACTTTTGGCTTGCAGGACCACTTTCTCCTGAGGTGGGTGAGGCATGTTGGGAATGTTCAGGTCTGCACTGAACAGCCAGGAAGTGCAGCAGTACTGTTGAGTGTTTAAGCGCTGACTGACGGGTCAAAGCACAAGGCGAGGCAAGGATGCATCTGGGTAAGTGCGCTAAGTG